TGGGGGGGGGGGGGGGTTGGCACTCAGCCCAAAATATTGCTGACCCCTGCCTTATACCTTACACTTATTTTACATTAGGGTGCAAGCTCAAAGCATTAGCAAATTAGATCACATAGGTTTTTCAGTATCTTCTATAGAAATAATTTAAAACCTTGAAGTACGAGTGCTGTTGAGGCTCACCCTTACTTTTCTGCGGTTTGATAGCAATGGAGCCTGCTAGCACCAGCTTGCGGCCCAGTATCTGCTGTTTTCCCTCAAGTCTTGCACAAGCCTGAATCCTGCTGCAAGGTCTAGCACTTGCACAGTGATCCCACAGCAAGTCTCCATTGCCGGCTGCAGCATGCCCTGTGCACAGTTGCTAAATGGTTTCCCCTGCAGCCTGCTTTGTTTTTCCTTGTTTGCCATGCTGCCACCACATGCCAGGCCACTTTCTTGGACGGTATCTTTCCATAGAGTTTCAGTCTACCTGGGCAGAGGAAAGGGAGGTGTCTGCCTGACACCAAAATGTCAGATATCTATGGGAATGAGGAGAACAGCAGCTCCTGCATAGCAGATGCATTACGCATTCTTCACACCAGTCAGTTTGAGATGAATGTTCAAGATGGATTATTGCTGCCTATGGGGCAATTTTTTCCTTTTGTCTCTTCCTGCTGCAGCACTTATGGCTGAGCTCCAGGCAGCTTTCCATGTTAACAATTCAGTGAGTTAATTCTATTAGCTCTGCATAACCAACATTATGCAGCAAGGGCTGGATTCATTAACAAACTTGTGCCCAGGATCTTGGTAGACATGACACATGTACATTGCTATAATTATTTTTTACACTGGTGTTAGCCAGGAGTTGTACACCTGTGTAACTTCCTCAGAGCTGGTACAGAGTTACAATAGGGATAAAATAAGGGTTAAAACTACATCAGTGTAAGTGTTCTCTCTCCACAACTCCTCCTGGTATAGCCTTCTTCTAAATGCAAACAGACTGTTACTGACTCTACCACCTTATGACATGGCAGAGTAATAACATCTATGCCTATTCATGGATAGCTGTGTATTTAGCTTCTCTGGATACCCCTGTAAAATACACTAGGATAACAAAACAGTGTAAATTATACTTGTATAAAAATGTCCTCTCCCCAGGCCCTTAACGTGAATCAGTCATACCTATGCAGGCACGCTGACAGCAACTGGGGGCTGTGCAGGTGCCACTGAGCACCTGATCAGAAGGTAATAGAGTTGCCCAGGTCATTGTGAGTGGACTATTTAGTCTTCCTAACATTTGTTAGGGTATGATGCTTGAAATGGAAATGCTTGTCTCAGATTACAATGGTACATTTGCAGGACTGGCATTTAAAGGGGGGGGGGTGGGAGGGGCAGGAAGGAGGAATGGCAGTTTTAGCGTAGAATTAATTCAAGAACAACAACCTCGTACCTATGAAAACAGTACTGTTTTCAAAGCAGCACTGTGCTTTAATCATCTGTTGCTGCCTGGAAGGTGGAACTCCACAGAACAGGAACTGTGAATGTGTCACAAAGAGAGGGATCACTCTAGAACGGCCTGTATTATAACAAGTATACCAATAAGAGCAAGGGAAATATGAGCACCGCTGGTGAGTTATCATCAACAGACCCTTGCATGGAAAAAAAATGAAAAAGGAGAGAAAAGAGGGAAGTATCGGGCTTAGGTTGTAGGACACCTGGGATCTCTTCTGACCTCTGTCACAGATTTGCTGTGTGATCTTGGTTATTTAAGGGTAAATTCTCATTAGTAGCCATTAGTTTGAGGAGCACTGTAACTTTTTTAGCTGTCCGTCTTTTTCCTCACTTCCCCATGAGTAACGCATGGAAAGTAGTTCCTCAAGGAATACTGGAAAGGGTAGTTCATTAATAAAGTTGGCAAAGTGCTTTTAGAGTCTTAAGTGAAAGGAACTTCTGGACATGACTCACTCTAGCCATAGCCTGAGTCTCTCTCTTCTTCAGTGATGCATGGTATTTCTGGGAGTTTATGAGACTGGGACAATTCCTCAGCTGGTATACACTTCATGAAAGGAACAATTTCTTCCCGCACCACCTGGAGGAGTGATCAGCACTGCTCCTCTGAGAGAGCGCACGAGAGAGACACTCTGCTTTTTTTCCTGAATTACTGAATCACTCATTTCAGAATATAGGGCACACAGGACTGGAAGAAACTGCCTGTATTATATCGAGTCCAGCTGCCTGCAAACATAGGCAGCTATTTAATAAACAGTTGGTCTTAAAGGATACACAGGATTTGGCCTTCTCACACATCACAGTCACAAAGCTTACCCTAACACCCAAGACGAAATTAGAAAACAAAAAGCAAAAAAACCCAGAACCTGACAAGGCCTACAATGCATCTCAAGCTGAGAGCAGGAGAAACGCACCAACAGTGCACATTCTGCACGGACAAGGGGCCGTACCCATTTAGGAAGTTGCCCTCTGACTTCTGGAACTGGGTCCTATGGTAGGGCAAACTCTGGATCAGTGAAACCTTCATTCAGCATTTCCACTATTACATATAAATAATTCCCTCCTTTTGTGTGTCTTAAGAAACCGGGTTAGCAGAAATTATTTAAGTCCTAATTCACCTTTTATAAACTACGCTGCTGACCACCATCTTGGGTGACAACTTGGAGGTTCAGCTCGATCCACAAAAAGTAAATGTGAGCTTTTTGAAGCTTAAGCCAACACTGTCTAGTTGGGGTTACATGAGATCTACGCCTTCCATGACTGGATACAACTCATAGCACTCATTCCCCTTGGTTACACTAGCTTTCCAAAATTCCCTTTTTTGTTCAGCATTTGTCTCTCTCGGTCTCCTCCCTCTCTAGTGACAATAGCCTCCACAGACATTGGCGTTCTGCTGGAAGATGATGTCTTCGTCGATTTTTTCAACACCTTCCTGAATCTTCCTGTAAGTTTTCCTCTTGCAGTTTAGCTCACGGTCCTTGTGGATCTTAGCACATCTCCCTCACCCTTGGAGGTTGCATGTTTCTATGGTATTAGGGGCTCCTGAGGATTTCCGGGTATCACTTCTCTGGTAGCGATCCCTACCTTGCTTCCAGACACATGCAGCCATGAATCTTTGCCCATAACTTTTTTTTAGCTATTGTGAGCTAAGTAGGCTCAGGAATGGTTAGTGATTGGATGAATATATCTAGGGGGTGGCACGTGGTGGTTGATTCCGTGTCATTCACTCCTTTCCGAGTTGCTGTTGAATCCAGGTCCTAGGAAGGTGCTGCTCAGCTGCAGGAGGTGCTGCCTTTTGAGCTGCATTCCATCAATGAAAGAAGGCATCCCCATGTGTATTGTTTATAATGTTTTTTGAACATTCTGGGATTAATTGAGCCATTACTCATTATTGGTACTTTGATCTTTCATTAAGTTACCACAGTGACCTGACCTCCCAGGTACTTGGTGGTTCCATTTGTCCTGTGCCATTTCAGTTAGGTGAAAATGCATATTTGTCCTCCCTATTCTAAAAACAGCTAACTCCCTCTGACCAGCTAGCAGAAATTGGTTGCAGTACATCTACCAGGATGTTACCCTCTATAGAAAGGTTGTACATTGCCTTCCAGCTGGGGCTCAAAACAATTTATCGTTAGAAGTATTGATGTTATCTAGGCCAGGAATTCTCAAACTCACTCATGCTTTGGGCTATTTTGACAGAGACATCCCTTTTCATGAACTCATTTGCCCTCTTAGTATCCCAATGCCTCCATAGTTTGCTCTTAAAATATCTACTTTTGGGGACTATCAGGAACAGACTCATAGAGGAGAAGCAGACTTGTGGATTAGGGGTCAGGATCTGGATTCAGTTCCCCCATCTGCCAGACTCCCTGGGTGACTTAGGCCAAGTTATTTCATCTGACAAGTAAGGGTAGTATTTCCTTTCTCCTGTTCTTTCTCTGAGTTGCCTTTTTAGGCTGTATGCTGTTTAAAAATACATAGGCATGCTTCCCCCCCGCCCCTCCTCCCACCAGATGCATGTACAACATCCAATACATCAGGGAATCGAGACCTCACTGGGCACATCTACACAAGACAATGACTGCGCAGTAGTGGAAAAATACTGTGCAGTAGCGTGTCACAGCACAGATAGCGCTAATATGGTACTGCACAGTAGTATAACCTAAAAGATGTTCACCCGTGCTACTGAGCAGTAACTCCAGTTACTGCGTATTTAGCACTTACTAAAGTATTAATAAATATGCAGTAACAACTGTGCAGTAGTGTATCGTGTAGACACGTCCACTGTAATACAAATGATCAATAAGAGATCATAAACTAAGAACACCTGGTACACAGGGGGAGCCTTCATTACAGTTCATGCAGTTGACTCACTATTATTAATAATGATATATCAAGTGTTTCTGCTAAAGAGACAGGGCTGGACAACTCTACCTGGCCTGAAAGAATAAGAGGTGAGAGTGGTTATGGGAGAGGTGCCTTTCCCATGGTATGAGTTATTGTTTTTGCTAGTCAAGTTCTGGCTCCCCCTGCTCCCTCTCACTTATCCCCTCTTCCTTCTTTACAGGTCTTTGGTCAGACACCCATTTACATAACCAGTATTCGCCAGTGGTACCTGTGGCCAGAGTTACCATGCTCCCTGGTGAGGCAATAACCTTTACAAGATGTAGCAGCAGGCTGAAGCCTTCTGCCCAGGAAAAGAGATGGGCAAAGAGGGAAAGACCAGAATGGGGGTGGGCAGAACAACCAGGATCTTAAGCTCAAGACTTCCCGAGGGTGGCTCCCCTTCCCTTTGTTCTCTTATTGTGTATATTCAGTTGGGTGAATAAACCTGGGAACAATCAGAAGCAGGTGCAATAAAGGTCTGGATGCTGGGGAAGTACTATGAGCTTGAGCCAATAGTCAATAGAAAGGTCCATGATGACTTCAAGGCAGGTTGCATAAGGCCCCATGTGCAGAATGTCGCTAGAATTTGGGAGCATCTGGGCCTCCTGAAGGACATTCCATCCTGAAATATCCAAGACCTAGGACACTTATCCTAAGCAATTTCTTACAAGGTCCTTCTTTCTCATAGTTACAAGCAGAATTCACCTGTCCTTTGACATTAATGATCTCTGATGCTCACCTTGGAGACAGCCCACTTCCCCTGTGCATTAGCTGTGTCATGAGAAAGTCACCACAACTTCCCTCCTCCCCAACTTGGCTTCATGGACCAGAACACATCCCTCCTCTCACAGAGGCAACCCCAGAGGTACCAAGAGGATCATGTCCCCCGCCAGAGGTTTACTATATTGAAAAGTTAATGCAGAAACAAATTCTACCAGACTTTGAATTGTGGAAGTTTTCCAGGCACCTAACTGCTAAAGGGTTCTTGTTTAACAAAGTCAGCTAATGAAGTGACACCAGGGATAGATCCTTCCATCACAGTCTAATCAGTCTGTTATGGGGAAAATACAGGTACCAAAGTACAAAGGTTTATTGACATGGATGGAGAAATACCGGCTGCCACACTTCTGCAAAACCAACCTGTGCCTTCATTACATTCTCTGTCAGAAGCTTCTCAGTTTCATTAGATCCAAGGAGGCTGGTGAGTTGTGACAACCCTAAAAGTCTCTTACTCACAATAGCTTTTGACATGCAAGCAGTTGCCTTTTCTCTATTCAGTTGTTGTCTTCACCTTTGGTGTATGTAGCTGTGGTCTGAACAGATGAAAATAGTGTGGGTACCAATATTTATAAAATTGGTTACATTTTTAAATTTCCATGTGTGGGGAAAATCATTTTTAAAAAATGGGAAGAGATAATTTGCTTAGTTTGTTTTCATATGCAAGTTGCTTGGGTGCTATGGGAAAGAGGGTCATAAAAATCACCTAGGTAAAGGAACAGAGAAAGTTTAAGCCTCCACGGTTAAACACTTGCATACTGCAAGGTAAGAGCAGGCAGGCAGTTAGTGTGGACCAGCTGATGCACAGTGAATCCCTGCCTCCTTTGAACTCTGCAATTTGTTTCCTTGTCCATAGAATCAAGGGAGTGATGTTAATCCTAAAACTATGAATACCCAGCCCATCTTGTCTTTGAACTGAATTCTGCTTCTTTCAGCCTAGGTTTAACATTAGATAATAAAAAGATTTGTGGTGAAGCCCCAAGTTCAGGCAAAAAAGGAAATGGGTTGATGAGAATGTGGGAAGGGCAATGGCTGAATGTAGAGGACATGGGTGCGTTTTTACATGTTGGTATGAAAAATATACCTGGCATCCACAGTGGAAGATTTCCAAGTGGTTCGTTGTTTGCAACTGAGTTTTGGAACAGAGCATAGATCCAGGATCTGGCTGTTGGCCTTGTAACAAAAACCAACAGAGATCAGCTGAAGGATTCTGGTAGCATATGCTTGTACATGTACACACTAGATAGCTGCCTGTTGTGATGCTTTTTGCTCTCTCATGTAGCAGAGATGCTGAGATGGAAGAGGGCAGACCAATGGCTGCTGGAAAAGTGCATTAGCGGTACGCGAGGGATGTGGCGCTTTCGTTCCTTCCTCCAAGAAATGGCAGGTAAGCACACACAGTTTCCCTCAGACTGGCCTCTACTACCCTATGGATCCTCATATGCAGACCGGCAGTCTCTGCAGCAGGACAGTGGGTGGCAGGTGTAACTTGGAGATGTATATCAAACACAGTGAGCAGTGAGGACACTATACAAGACACTACCGTGGATAAAAGAGTACCCTGCTGAAGATAAGCCTGGAGTGCAAGTGCACTGAATCCCACTGCCTTGCAACTGTCACAGGAAGCCAAAATGAGGGTTTCCAATTTTATACCAAAAACTGTTGGGGAACAGGGTCACAGGCCAACAGGCTGGGAAGGAATAGACAAACTCAAATAGGTAAACATTAGCAGAGAAGTATGTACACTTAAAAACTAAATAGCAGATAACAACCAGTAGCATTGCGGTGTATTCATTCAGGGATCAGTAACTGATAGCATGAACTACAACTGTAGTGCAGACACTCAGTAAGCCTGTGTCCTCCAAGACCTCCAGGCTAGGGACAGCAATTACACATAAATAGGTATAAGTGACTGGAAACTAGTTCAGATCTGTAATGCAACATAAGTTCAATGCATATAAACTCCTTTCAAAGTGGCTGAAACCAGTTTAAGATAATCCTGGATGGATGTAGTCATATGCAGCAGAAGTGGGGGCTAATGGGACTTATTCCCCCCCAAACGTGGGGCAGTGGTAGGGCTGCAAGGCAGCAGGGCTGGGGCTAGGGCAGGCCCTGCACAACTGGGGTGGGCCGTGGAACTGAGCCACAAGCAGATCATCCAGGGGGCACAGCTCCTGCTGCTACGTGCATCCTGGGAGGCATGGGGGTAGGTGTGTGCCCCCAAATCTATATGAGGCAGGGCAGGCTGCAGCTGCGAGCTGGGGCCAGGATACCATCAGGCTCTTCCCAGTGGGGGGGCTGGACCACACTGTGCTTGGGGCAGATGGTGGCAGCACTGAGTGCAGGGCTATGGGGGGGGGGCCTGCAGCCACGCCAAAATTCACTGTAGCCCCCCAACACCCTCCCAGCACTGCTGCCACCTGCCCTGAGTGCAGCACAACCCAACCCCCCAGCACAGCCCTGGCCCCAGCCCACAGTGGCAGCCCACCTCCTTCCATGCAGATCCTGGGCACACACCCCTCCCCACCCCATGCCCTCCCGGGGTGCGTGCAGAAGCAG